TCTTCTTTTCTTCCTTTTCAATAGCGTCAAATTATCGGCAGCGTTGCTCTCAGGTGCCATCCGGTGCACCCGGCAAAGCGGGTGACTATCGCATACTAACCCTTCCCCCCCCCCCCAAAGCCAAAATGACCATGATAATCATGTCCCACATAAAGCAATCTAACCGACATCGTGTTAGAAGGTTTGAAGTCTCTGAATCGCCATTTTAGATTGTACTTTCACTAGCTGCGATCGGGGAGGATCCGCCGACTACTTCAATAGTGCTCAAATCCTCAGTTGATGTGATCAAAGAGATAAAAAATCTCGGCTGCTGCCCGAAGCAGAGACCGGTCGGTTCAAGTTCTCGTCGACTTTAAGATCCAAAAAGCTAAGTTGTGGAAGTGATCAGCGTCTGCTAGCCGAGTCCGGTTCGGATCTATTTAGATCGGTCAGCATCCGTTCTTTCTCGTGGTGGAGAAAAGCCGAGAACTAAGAACTTTTTCACTCACAACCGTGGATCTGATGTATAGACTTGATCGTAGAATCTTCGGAAGAGTATCAGAACAGTGGAGTGCTCTCAGATTGTCTCAGAAAGTAAAATCCTTTTCCAGAAAATAACCACTATCGAATGTAGGGCAACAGGTCCGCCAGCCATCCAGGCTCCAGCCTGATATTCCCTGAAGGGGTAGAGCAATTGTAAATTAGACAGTCCAATTCGAGAAAAATAGAAAGTCTGAGCCATGTTCTCCTGACGATAGGTGACTAAGCATGCGCAATGCCAGTGTAATGTTTTTCATGATTTCTGGTTTCCCTAGCATCGTTACTATTTTTGCTGTTCAATGGGTGGGTTGGATGTGGTTGGTCTGTCGAAGGCGAACAGCTCAGAAATTAACAAGGAGGAACGCCAAAGCGAGAGCCATTGGACCACAATGATAGTCCCATTTTTGTCAGGTACTAAGTCGCCATCCCGGGCTTCAATAGTAACAGTAGTCATGATAAACTAGCCTCAACACGACCTAGTGAGACTTGCATTCAGCCCTTGTTAGCGCCATTCTCCACTGCCCACCAATATGATGGTGAGAAGTTTAGGAACATGGATCGGCAGAGCAAGAAAATTGGTTCGGCTTCGGTTTCCCCACTTCCTGTGCTGGGTTCTTGAAGTCTCAGCTGCCCATCAGGGACTACATATACAGCGTATGTAAGTTGCATTAGAAGTTCACACTCCCACAACGGTTCAAGTAAGGGACGACCTTGTCGGTCAGTGTCGCCATCAAGTCATTCAAATAAGCCGCGACAGATCCTCGCTCCGGAATGTGTGGTGTCTGTCACTAACGTCGTTCATTTCTATTCGCTCATTTGGTTAATTGCGCTCGGTTCACCATGGGCGCAGACTACTTGGGCCTGGATGCGGTAGGATGGCATTCCATGGTGAAGACCTGGTGGGATCAAGTAAGACACCCCCGTCATGTGATTCCTCAGCCCTAAGACTGTCTGCTCACTGACTGGGATCACTAGGTTCTCGCCGCTTGTTTGTTGGCTACCATTGTCTTTGGGGGTCTATATATTCTCTTCTTGGTCGGAAGGAAGGCCCGCAAGAGTTGGCGTGTACGTACTTAATGTCCACAATTCGTGACACTCACACGGCCCTGGATCATGTTAACATAGTAATAGAAAAGGGGTCAGCTATCAGTGGTGCCCACAGCTATTTCCCGGTATCTCGATCGCCTTTCAAAGGAGGCTCAACCACTCTCCACAGAAAGATATGCAGGAAAAGAGCTTCAATCGTTCGGTGTCTTCCTCGGCAGCCTATCAAATCCACCAACTCCTGATCAGACGCAGTTACTGCAAGAGTGGGATATCACTGTTCTCGACCCTACGCAAGATGGTGTTCTAGGCTCTCTATCATGCCAGCGTACAGATTCCTATATCTTAGGACGGCTGGATGTACGAGTACTTGCGAACTCCGAGAGCGCTTCGAATAACGATGAAGTGATTCATGCTTTAGAGGCCGTTGCCCAGACATTGCGAACATGTTTCAAGCAGTCACAGGATGTGCAGTCGCCATTCAACGGAGTTCTTCTCGCTGACTTTCTCGCGCACTTCCAACCAGTTGTATTGAACGCATTGGTAAAGTATATAAACCAGCTCGGGCTCGATGTTTGGCTCGAGCTTTCGCCGCCCGCTTATATTACCGAGCAGCAATGTCGCGACATCGACATGCTGCCTATCAGGGGCTTCATCTATCGCAACGCTACTATCTCGCCTGATGGCAGCAGTCGCAACTACTTCCAAATGACTGAAATGCGAACAGCTATGCGCGCTATAGCATCGCAAAAGTCTATGGGCGGTACGACTATCGTGTCGTGGGAGACTATCGATAATGGAGTAGATTTATCGCACGACGTTATTCACCGGACATTCAAATGGTGCAACTACAGGAGCGCAAGGTGCTGGGTTGCGCCCCGTGCTGCCTTGACCGACGCAACAATTGCGACTACAGAGACTATAACTGAGGAGCCGTTGGGGGCACTGATGTGGATGAAGGGCAACGAGGTTACTGAAGCCCATAACGTGTGGAGGTCCAATGGAAAGGTGAGATTCTCAACCCAAAGCTTAGAAAGGGAACAACCTGACATTAGCTAACAGGTCTGCCAAAACCCCTGCGGTCATGACTCTCTGTACGAATCTCTGCAGTCCTTCATTCCCAATCTACTGGCGAAGCTGTCGTTATCACCTCCGGCTAAGGAACCTCTGATCGATAGTCAAGAGACAGTCATCGACGAGCTCTCTTGGCCATCGCAACCGGAACTTACTCAAGAGAACCCTTTCTCCGTTTCTCCTGCTGGTAATGACTATACGGGGTTAGGATGTTTCCAGCTCGGACTCGACTGCACATCTCGAGACATTACCGATTTAGTCGATGCACAGCGGCATGTGAGAGATCTTGACCTCCTTGAGCGTATCAAACTAGAGGAACTTCACTATATCGCTGGGCAATTGCGTGCTCTCCAAAAAGCGACGCACATGACAGCCTCCGGGGTGTCCAATGCTGCGAGAGAATTGCTTAGTATCCTCAGTTCTTGCAATGGTGGTGAAACCGATACCCTCAAAGTCTATGTGGGATTACATTCTGGATTTCGCACACGCCTGGAAACACAGGTCTGGGGTTTGTACGATACCGATACCACTTCGGGTACTCTCAACCTCAACATCTATCTCTCGGCAAAGGCACAAGACCGTACTAGCACCCTTTTACACACTTTCATGTCCAGCAGGGGATATTCTAGGTTTGAATGTCTTATGGCCGAGGTCGCACTAGCGACAGAGACCGGAAGTCTGTCAGAGACCTGGGGATTGCCCTCACGCATCATGCACGACATCGAACAACTTACTCCGGCCGAGGCAATCTTGTTTCTGCGTCGCCTAACAGCCTCTGAGTGTTCGATATCTTCGGAATTGTCTCAGAAAGTACGCGCATTCTGCGAATATCAACTCATAGAGGCTCCGTCTCTTGCCCAGCTCCGAGCTTTGAGCTCTACTGCGTACCTGAGCGGCGAGATCTCCGCCGAGGACCTTGTTAGTTCCCGGCTTGCATGGTATCGGGAACAAGGATGCTGGTACCCTGATCCTACAGTCGCTGTAGCTCTTTTCAAGGAGGTCGATGCCAAGCTACCGGCAATCCTTATCAATGGGGAACTTCAGCTTCTGACCCAGCTCGCTACGGTCGTTCATACTATCCTGCAAACGGATCAAATCGATGCTGCTGCCGATTTGTTTGCTTTGTCCGTCTTTTGTGCATTCCGCAAGCTCGCCCTCAATGAAGTCTATCTGGAAGTCCTCGACCGTAACCCCTTGCCCAACAATGACATGCTTCAGGCCTCTTGTTTCGCAGAGATGTACGCGGTGGGTGCGCGCTGCGACATGTACTTCGATATGGCGCCAATCCTTCTCGGAAAAATCCTCGCCACCCGGTACCGCGCGTACTACGACGTCCACCAACCACCTCGCCGGGACGACATGTTCACCGAGCTCCCGACAGCGTATGCATCTATGGACATTGACTTGGATCCGAAGGGTGAGCAAGAAAGACCATCAGTGTTTTATCAATTCACATTCCTTGGAATCTTCGCTGTTCCGGCCTTGATCGACATCATCATGCTCACGACCGTTGGCCGAGGTCTTTACCTTACCACATTCATGAGCAACATCGATAAGTCGTTGGCGACACTCGCGTTGATGATAGCACTTATCCTCTGTGGTGGATTCGGTGGCTGGATCAGTTCTGGAGGAAACTATTACCTTAACGCCATGGCTTTCCCAGCCATGAGTATGTTCGTGATGACTCGATTCGTCGCCGGACTCGCAGTTGCCTTCGTCGGTGGCATCTTTGCAATGATCGGTATCGGTGTCATCAGTGGCTTTGAGCACGGGGTTGTCTTCTTTCTGTACTTCGTGATGCTGTCAACCTTCCTCATGACTCTCTCTGCGCTCTCGGTATACCAGATACCGGGATTCCAGTTCCAGTCGGGAAGAACTGTTATCATGATGTGCATTCCCATTCTGTTCATCTCGCCGATTATCACGATCTGGGTTCACCACGATACATGGGTTTATATTCCTTTCCTCTGGCTATTCTTGATATGTCTCTTAATCGGGGCTCGTATGGTTATCTCACAGTGGAATACATGGTATCTCAACATCCCTCGCATTACGGACAGTGATGTTGTCAATTGGTATCTCAAGACAAGCCCACGCGACAGTCTACCAGCGGATGTGGAAGATATCGGTACAACCCCAATCCCACGACAAGCCCTCCAGGCAAGTGTCGAGAAGGAACGGAACCGCCACTTCTGGACCAGGTCGACTGCGGACCCATTAGTCCGGAAGTTGGCCGACGGATATTCCGCGACAATGTTTCTTCTTGTATGGTACTGCAGGTATTCGAGAACCAAGCTGCCACGGCCTTACAGCCCGACTTGGAACCTTCAATTGAAAGCATCTGTCGACACCATGAGCGATATGCAGAGGGGTGTCAAGCTTCACAACGCCTTTCTCCACTGGCGTCACACCGGCGGTGATGTCTGGTGCGGCATCTTGTACTTCATCCTCGCTCTAGTCGACAAGTGGACCGCACTGCTGACAGGGCAGTCGGTTGTGGGTCTGTCCAACGTGTCTAGCATGAAATATCGGCTTGCAACTGGTTTCGGATTGGCTTACTATCTTATGGGTGCAGTCATCCTTGATGCTGTGTCGCAGCCACTATGGACACTGGCCAATAAAACCACCTCTCGTGCCATTGCCTCTCTGGAGTCCCTCGAAGAGGCCAAGCTGGACAATATCCGGTCACGACGAGCACTTTATTGGAAGTCACTTGCAAAGTTCTTCTTCCTCCATATTTGGGGCGCTTCTATCTCGTTGGCCCTGATGTGGGCTTTCGAAGGTACCAGCGACGCGACCATCATGTATTTGGCTTATGTTGGGTCGTATTCCGGTCTGCTCTGGTATCAATACAACAAGGTATTCACAGGGCTTCGTGCCGTAATACCCCTCGCGTTAGGCACGGTTATTGGCTTCGTTCTGGGTATTCTCCTTCATGTCTATGTACCAGCTTTCGCATACAGCAGTGTCATCAGTTTAGCTTCGGGAACATGGACCGCTGCTTTTGTCTCGCTATACATGACCGACATATGGATGCCGTTGTGGAAAAAGGAAACCAACGCGCAGCCTACTTCCAAAAATGAATCGCCATTCTACACCTGCAGCGCTCTTGACCCTTCCCCC